TAATTTTCTCATCATGTTTCATGTGACTGTTAGAATTTAGACAAGTATGCATCTTGTTTAACACAAAGGATATAGACCCACGACCCTTTGGAAACCAAGCAGGGTATGGAAGAATGTGGTGGCAGCAAACAAAAACAAAAGTTTATGTAATTTTTAGATGTATGAATTTATGCAGGAAGATAATAGAATGCTTTTCACAGTTTAATTTGTGGGTTGTTGAAACTCAGAATGTGATTAGTCAACAGAAATAATACAGATTGGTAGTATTCATATTTTCTCAACAAATGCCATCTTATTGTAGAACCTGAGTTTCCACCAGGCAGGAGGAACCGGCCCTGCTTACTGCAGCTGGCAGGTGCCCTGGCTCCAGGATAGGTCTGCAGGTCACCCAGATGTGACGAATCCTTCAGGTCCTGCCTAACAGGTAGTATTAGGACTGGTCTTGCTGATCATTTTCTACACGATCTGAACCCAGCAACTTGGTGAGCTCAGTGGCTGTTTGGCTTCCAGTTTATCTTACTAGGATGCTTGCACGGTCTCCGAGATAGCCGGGGAGCATCCAGCTGTCGGAGATGCAGCCACTGAACCAATTCTTCTGTGTGGCAGCTTCTCCCTCCTTCCTGTCGCACCGCAGAGACAGCCTTGCTTCAGAATGGTGCCTTTTGCACTTCTAAGCTTATGTTTTTAATCACAGCTCTGTGAGTCTCCCAGTGTGACTTTATTGGTACACTGGGCTGAACAAAACTTTTCCAAGGACTCCCATGCTGTCAAAATGTTTAGCATCCCTGGGGTTCCTCTACCACGTGTACCCCAGTCCTGTGACAACCCCAGAATGTCCCCTAGACAAGAATACCCCACACTCTTTTGAGAGTCACAGATTAATACTCTCTGAGTGCTGAGAGGAGAGCAATTTTACTAACCTAGAACATTCCTGTGGGTATTTACATTTTAGAAGAGCAAGTCTTTATATGTAAATAGCCAATAAACATATGAAAAAAGTTCTTAACATCATTACTCATCAGAGAAGGACATGATAAAAATCACAACGAGATTACGTTGCGCTCCACCAGAATGACTAAATATAGTGTAAGGTAGATACAGAGCTGTCAAGGATGTGCAACTACTGGTGCTGGGAATGGAAATTGGCATAACTGCTTTGCAAAACTATTTGGCAGGTTATGAGACCTTTTGTAGTGATTCAGTCTGCCTCTCGATATATTATACACCCAGTAATGAGTACAAATACTTAATCAGAATGCCCAACATGGGAACCCAAGTATCTGTCAATAGTAGAATGAACAGATTAATTTCGGTGTCTTTACACACTGGAATATTGCTCAACAACGAAAAAGGAATGAATTATATAGGGGATTTAGCTCAATGATTCCAGCACCTGCCTTGCAAATGCAAGGATCTGAGCTTGATCCTGGTACCAAAAAGAAAAAGAAGAAAAAGAATGAATTATTTCACACAGCAACATTTATGAATTTCATAGTGATAATAATGAGTAAAAAAAGTCCATCAAAAGAATATACAATACATAGTATTCCCTTTATGTAATAATGTTCAAGAATGGGCAATACAATAGTAGTTCTTTGTGGGTAAAGAGGAAGTCAATAGGGAAAGGGCTTGAAGGAACCTTCTGAGGTGATGGAACTGTTGTTAATTGTGTTCTTGTGGGTGCACAGTTCGTGCACACATAAGCGCACATGTAGATTGTTTATGTGAAACCATCTAGCTGTATACTTAAGATTGATACAGTTTGGTGTATATGTAAAATAGGGACAGCTTGAAAATGTAATGCATCTCTAATGCATAGTATTTTAGAAAGGAAGATGAAAAGCCAGTTGACCAAGGAGTAGAAGGAAAAGGGAGTTTTGCTGGAAGCCATCAGCACATGTTGGCAAGGCAGTTCCGTGCTCCTAGGTCTCTGTGCCACTGGGGCAGTGGAGGTGCCCACGCTGGTGACATAGACTGCTTAGAGTAGTGGTACCTACATGATTCCCTTCCTTGTGGGCTTTTCTGTTCCTTCTTGTCTATGTCCATAGGTTTGCTTGGTCCTTGCTTTTTTAAGCCTTAATTCTTGTTTACCGTTCCTGTGGCATTATGATCAGGGCTGTGAGCGGTACTGAGGGTGGCAGAGGGGAGGCCTTAGAAGAGGGCACAGTGCAGTGGTTACATATGAATCAGGCGTTTATGAGTCGAGGGGAGCCCCCCCACTGTCACCTGGCCCCAGCTTCGAGGCGGGGATGGTGCTGTCATAGAAACCTGTTAGCAAGGGGAATCTGGGTCCTGGGGAGCCATCATGGAATGTGTAATGGCGTAACCTGTAACACAGGAGCAACCCATTCAGGAGCAGAAGGCCGACAGTCATACCCTGGTGGGGAGGGAGGGGAAGTGGAAGAGCAGAGATTCTGCCCAGTCTTTCTGGCCACAGCTGGCTGCTTACCCAAACTGGAGGTTTCTCTTGGGACATTCGATAGGGGCTTCGCTTGTACAATGTAAGCTCCGTCTAGACTTGGTGTTCTTCCTGGTTCTTCCTCGTGGTTTTCTTCAGAATAATGAGTTATGGAGGAATATTTTCAGTTACATGCTGCCCATAAATGTGTATTACAGCACAGCACACAATCTGATAAAGAATGAGATGATCAGGTACTAGACCAGCTGGCTGTGCCAGGTGTAATCTAGCTGTCCCAGTTTCCAGCTGCATCCAAGTTGGAGCCCCATAAAATGTGTGCTTAACTTAGTATTTTAATGCCATAGAAGATGTCATATTTTATCATTGAGATTAGCTTGAAACTGCATGATTTGGATAAAACACGTGCATATAGATAGCTGTGACTTCTGAGAACCCAAAGCAGGTTTAATTAATGTTAGTGCTTGCTTAAATAGTGATTTATTCCTTTTTATGTGAAGATTGTATTGGTAATATTTTGCTATTATTGTGTCCAATTTTAGTTTAGAAAATTGATATTTTAAGATCTTTAATAAAAGTTAATAGAAAAATTGATGGTGGAAGGACATATGTATTACTTGAAATAGAGGTGCTAATGACAGCCAAAGTCTGTTAAATATTAAGCTTTGTGGGCCATACTGGATAAAATATAAATGCCTACTGAGTTTTCATTTTAATTTAGTACATTCTTTTTCAGTTTTCCATTACCTTTGCAAGTGACTGCCTAAACTTTCTTTTTAAAATTACTGCACTTTGCTGTCTCAGATTATTTTGATTTTCCCTGGATCGCCATGTGCAGACAATTTCAGGTCTGCATTTCCAGTTATGATTTCCCACTCCACTTTATTTCAGAGCCTTCTGCTGCTGCTGAATATTTCTGCTTGGATATTCCAGTGTGACCTTAAACTATGAAGCCAAATTTCTCATCTTTTGCCACTCTTTCCTTCTACAAAACTAGCAGTGTGTTTCCCTCTTTTCTCAGATTCAAAGCCTCCCAGACATCTTTGACTGCTTTTTCTTAATTTTCAGTGTGGTGTTGAATAGGAGAGCATGGTGCATTGTCAGTATTTCTGTGGGGGAAAATTAAAAACAAGGGACCGTTCACTCCTTATCTTCCTGACTGTTCTCCTTGTCACCAACCTGGTTTGTCACTAGCCTCCTACTTACATTACTCCTTCAGGAATCAGATTTGTATTCTCTTCTCATCAAGCCCTTTTGCTAGCCCATTGAATTTTCCAAGTCTACTGTTGGTTGCATCCTTCTGCTGTATAGAAACCCTTTGTATAACTCCCTAATTCTTAGTAAAATTGAATCCAGCCTCGCCTGGCTTTTACTAGCTCTGTCTACAACTATTTACCTTCTTGAAACTGTTTTTCCAGTTCGTGGTTTGACTACTATTTCCTGAGACCCTTCTCATGTGAATATTCTCTCTCTCTCTCTCTCTCTCTCTCTCTCTCTTTCTGCTTTACAATATGCTCCCCACCATGATCCTCTACCTGGTCACAAGCTCAAAGGCAACAGAACCACTTCACCATGGACCAAACCTCTGAAACCATGAGCCAAATTAAATCTTTCCTCCTTTTAAGTTGATTTTCTCAGGTATTTTATCACAGCAGTGGAAAGCTTACTAACATAGTAGTGTTCACTTTGTATGTGGGGG